CTCGGGTTTCTTTTTTTCTTTCTTTCTTCCCTTCCTTTCTTTCTTTCTTTCTTTCTTTCTTCTTTCCTTTCTCCCTCCCTCTTTCTTCCTTCCTTTTCTTTTTTTCTTTTCTTTTCTTCTTTCTTTCTTTCTTTCTTTCTCTCTCTCTCTCTCTCTCTCTCTCTCTCTCTCTTTCTTTCTTTCTTTTCTTTCTTTCTTTCTTTCTTTTCTTCCTAAATCCTCACCCAAGATATGCTTTTCAGTGATTAGAGAGAGAGAGAGGAAGGAAGAGGGAGAGAGAGAGAAGCATTGATATGAGAAACATCTATTGGTTGGTTCATGCATACACCCTGACTGGGAATAGATCCCACAACTTGGGTATATGTCCTTACCGGGAATTGAACCCTTGATCCTTTGGTGAATGGGACAATGCTCTAACCACTTACAAACACAGGCCAGGGCTTCTATCTTCTTTCTTTAATTTGGTTGAACATATTCTTAGCTTCCTGAGAAAAAATGCATAGGAAGCACATTTTTGTAGATCACATATGTCTGAAAAAAAGATCTTTATTCTATCTACATTTTATAGTTTGGCTGGATATAAAATTCAACATTGGAAATACCTTTTCATCATTTTGAAATCATTGATCAATTCTTTTCTAGCTTCCCGGTCATTGTAGAGTAGCTGGATACTATTAGAATCCAATACCTTTGTATATAACCTGTTTCTTCTCTCTGAAGTTTATTTGATCTTCTTTTCTTGGTATCCTGACATTTCAGTATTTGATATATCTTTGGGTGGGTCATGCTTTATTTATTGGGCTGGGTACTTGGTGATATTCATATTCAATGGAGAAACTTAGGTCCTTCAGGTCTGGGAAATTTTCTTTTTTCATATTTTTTAATAATTCTTACCTTTTCTCTAATTTTATCTTTTTGTTCTACTTTCTAAGATATTTTCTCAATTTTATCTCTCAGTTCTTTTTAATGCATTGTTTATTGATACTACATTATATTTAATTTCTAAGAGTTCTTTCTAGTTCCTTTTTATTGTTTCATGGCATTCTGAACTTTCGTGTCTTAGAATATTGATTATAATTTTAAAAATTTTTTTTATTGATTTCAGAGAGGAAGGGAGAGGGAGAGAGAGAGATAGAAACATCAATGATGAGAGAGAATCATTGATTAGCTGCCTCCTGCATGCCCCCTACTGGGGATCAAGCCCACAATCCAGGCATGTGCCCTTAACTGGAATCGAACCCGGACCCTTTAGTCCGCAGGCCGTTGCTCTATACACTGAGCCAAACCAGCCAGGGCTCAAAATAATTATTCTTTTAAAATTCTGTTTTTCTTAGTTGGGTCATAGCTTTTCTAGCTTCCATGACAGAAAAGTTGGTCCCATCTTTGACTTTTACCCTAATTTACTTGCTGAATATTATCTCATCTGTCAAGTCTTGCTGATATTATATACCACTTTCCTACTTCATTTGCCTGTAGTCACCCCATAGCTTAGTGCTTATTACCTTACTACTAGAGTGTAGCAGAATTCTAATTATTCCCCTGACTACGGTTTTCTCTTTCTCAGTTTATCCTGTGTGAACATGTAAGAGCTATAATTCACACGCCATGCTTTTATTTTGTTGATGGTTCTACTAAAAATAATTTGGTGGTTGTTTATTGTTAGCTGACTTAAAACGTGGCTCAGAGCAGAAGATGCTGGGTGTATATACCTTTATACCCTGTAGCTTTCTACTCAAGATACAGTGAAAACATTCTGAGTTAAAATCAAAGGTTTCCATGTAACTCAAATTGCCCTGGCTCTGGCCCTCAACTGCTTATGCAGAAACTCAAGCCTCCTGCAAAGTACATTCCCTATTTAATTATTTCTGAGAGCCCCCATGAGGAGTCCCGCACCTGTTCAGAAACAAATCCAATTCTATGATATTCTACCAGGTGCTGCTTCTACTCCATGCTGCTTCACCAGATGCTAGTCTGTCCTGGTGGTGTTGAAGATACATGATGGAGAATGGAGGGAAATGACCTTCTTTTCCCTTTTATTATAGCTCTGATATGCAACAATATTTGTGCAGTTCTCTCAATTTTATTTATGCAGTCCTTTTTAAAAGTGGGACCTAAATATGGATCCAGATAGGCTGCACCAGGAATGAATTCAAAGAATATATTTCATTACCTTCAACTCAGAATCCCTACTCCCCTTGTCTTACACCAAGTGGTTAAGGTTTTGTTATTGGATCAAGTATATCGTATCTAAGGCTTAGGACTTCTTTCTTAGGATTTCTCTCTTCACACATGCTTCTGCCCTACCAACCCACCAATTTGCCAGATATCCCTTAATTCTAGTACAGTCATTCTCAAAGTGTAGTTTTTGGATTAGTAGTATCAACATCACCCGGGAACTAATTAAAAATGAAAATTCTCTAGTCCAAGACTTCTCTAGTCTACAGAATAAAAAACTCTTGGTGTAGAGGTCTGAGTTTTAATAAGACCCGTAGGTGTTCTAATACATAAAAGGTTTGAGACTCACTATTCTAGCATTAGGGGGAGCCTCTCCTCCCACCCCTGTAGCAAATAAATAAATCTCTATATAAAAGCTTAAGCGACCCTTACCACTGAACAACCACAACAACCAGAATGA